AAAAATCTCCCCAAAAAAAAAAAAAAAAATCTATTTTTTCTTTATTACTTTGTTTTTTTCCTTCCACCCAGGGTTGAAGTTAAAATAGTCAAGCTTCCCTTGTAAAGTAGGATTTCCCTCTAGTTTGCACTTCACTGACGTTTTGTGGTCCTTTTGAGTGAATAGGGTCTTGGCTCCATATGGAGGTCTTTGATCTGACTCCCTACATTATATGGACACTAAGATTTGTTCTCTGCCCCATGAGGCCATTAAAACCTAATCGCTGGATCTCCAGAAAACCACAGATGCCCTGAGAGCAGTCATAGATTTTTCTCCCAGGATTTACATTTTTGCTTCATGTTTTGCTGCTGGGGATTTCCTTACTCTGTTGCCAGCTCAGCCATGCATTAAAAAGTTTTTCTAAACAGTTTATATAGGATCTTGGATTATTTTGTAGTGTAAAGCATTTGGGTAGCATGTTAGTAATACTGCCAAAGTGAACATCTAATTTATTTTTTAATTTGGTCTAAATTAGTACAGTTTGAGGGAGCTAAGTTATTTTCTATTAAAAATTCTTTTCATAATTATAAAAATTGAACATGTTTCTGTAAAAATGGGAAATTACAAAAATTCAGACTATTACTGGAAATTGTATCATGTTCCAGAGATTTTCATGTGTTAGTATTAGGTTGAAGTATGTGAAATAGACCTTCTACAGGTCAAATCAACAAATTTATATAGTACAATAAATTTCTTCTAGCTATTTTTGTTAATTATTATTTTAAGTATTTAAAATAATAATTTTTTGAGAGGCTTTTGCTATAGGGCACATGCGCTTGCCAGAAAGACAGAGAGACAGAGAGACAGAAAGCAAGAAATCACCCCCTAAGGGGGGATGGCAATGCCGCAATCCCTTCTCCATTCTCCTCTCGGGATCTTGGGCACGCATGCACATGTGTGAGTTTAGGCCACTGCGTCCGGGACACAAACCACAGTTGACTACATGGGAGTCCAGGGACATAGCCATTATGCTAACTGCTAGTCCCTAAAATAATAATTTATACATAATTTTGTATATTTCTGTGTGTAAACTATTTCCCTTTAAGCTTCTCACAAATAACACGCACATATACAAATATGGATTTATATGATATTTAGTATAATTGTCCTATTTTCCCATCTTTGGAAATTTATTTTTTTCATTATGACTAGGTTAAATATCTTCATGTGTAGAGAATTTTCTGAATTTTATATTTTTTCTTAAAATGAATAGAGAATTGCTTATTTAAATAATAAATTAAGAATCTTGTTATCATCAACTAATTGTACTGTCATTAGAGGATTTAAAATGTCAGAAAATAAAACTTGGAGACCTTGGGCCCAGCAGGTAGAGAGGTGATTGGGACACTGGCCTCCGACATGGCCAACCACAGTTTGAGTTCTGGACCTGCCAGCTGGCTTTTTCTCTCTCTCTTTCTCTGGTGAGCACACATGCCCTATAGCAAATTAAGATAATGTTCAAATTAATAATAAAATTAACTAAATTATTTTTATAAAGTGGCGGCATCTTTCAATTTCCTAATTTAATACTTTAACACCTCACTAGAAAAGACATGTGATGCTTTAGCTGTAACCTTCTTATCTAATGTGCTATGTTCTCATTCTCATATTATCTGTTCTTGATTTAAATAACTTTCAGATCACACATTTTGTGAAATGACTGGAGGAATCTTATTTAACTTCTCATGGAATATTATTAAAAAGTACTATAAAGACAAATTACATAGCCCTATCAAAATTAGTTCTTCAAAGAGGTATGCCAATTCTTACCAAATGCCTAAAGTTTAGTTCCAAGAAATTGTTCAGATTCTGTTTCATTTCTGCTAGTAGAAAAAGAGTTTATTTCTCTCTCCAAAGCTCCTCTTCTATCTGACAATAATGGCAAATAATTTCTACAGATGTCTTTCACTGGGCTTTAATAATAATAAGAAGAAGAATACTAAAAGCCTTTGTTGAGTGTCTAATCTATGCCAGAACCTATGTTAGGCATTTTTTTTATATCTCTAACTTGCACAATAAACTTGGAAAGTGTCATTATGACAATTTAATTGTTAAGGAAAATTGAGTCTAAGAGAAGGTAAAGATTTACCAAAATGAATGATGTCAACAAAGTATAAATTGATTTGGCCTACATCAAGTCTGTCTTGAAATATACACATAAACAACCAGTCACAATCACAGCTCAAAAACAAAAACAAAACAAAACAAAAAAAAGACTCTTTTGTACAGCATACCAGGTGTCTTGGAGCAATTAAAAGACCCAGAGGCCCACTGGCTCATCCTTGCCACGGATGGAGTTTAAAGGCTGCAGTAAGAAACCTAACTACCAACCTTGTGAAATCATTGCAGAGAAACAAACAAACAAAAAAAGCTGAGAAAATGAATGCATGGCCCAAAGATGATTTTCCTTGTGGCTCTAGTTTAATCAGCTAGTAACACCCAAGAGCAGCATAACCAAGCTAGTGCTTTCATTCGATGCCATATTCAAGTGATGTTGTTTCACAGCTTTAATAGTCCTGTCAGCGTTCATCAGGAAATCAGTGCAGCCCTCCAGATTCCTGCCATAAAAACACAGTGGCTTTTTAATTAGTGCTGTGCAACCCTCCGCAAACCCCAACTCTATGTTAAATTGATGTGTCTCACTCTCACCTTAGGCTCACCAATAGTCAGATGAATCCAAAGGAAGCAGAAATGTTCAATGTGGCCCCAGCTGAACAAATGTGTTTTCATAGCTTTCACAGTAAGCTTTCAAGTTTTGGAGCCATAGCCTTTATTTTAAAAATTAGTAAACTATTATAGAAAAATCTAACTCTCATCAAAATGAGTGTTATAGATAGCCTATGTACTGGACATAAGTTTAACATGGGAAAGAGAAAGTAAACTCAAGAGTCTGGTGACGTCAAGGTTTTTATATAAGTTAGGTAGGCAGGAAACTGAGAGTTTAATTCAATGAACTAGATATGTATCTCACCACAACTAACTGTGTCAAAAAGTTTTTCATCTGCATTGTTTTAAAAAATATAATGAATCTTCCTTGATTATCATCCTTGTTTTTTGGATGGATCTGTATAATCAAAGAAAACTTGTAGCTGGAGATCTTGACAAAGAACAGGGAGAGTCAATGGTAAAACATAGACTCTCATTGCTTTTCCTGAAAATCTGAGGATTGTAGGTGCCTCTGTTTTTTTCTATTTAAACAACAATGCAATATGGTGTTACATATGTCTTGTTTAAAAATGTCCATTGTTCATAAATTAAATGTGAAAAAAACAATCATTTTTTCTCTTTTCTGTGTCTGTTCATTTTTGCAAAGCAGTATATGGGAGTTGTGGCCTTGACCAAAAATATAGTTTTGTACTTAAAAACAGATAGCTCCTATAATGGTAAGAAGAAAAAAAAAAGCATATTTTGAGGCTTTACCTCCTAGTGATCTTTTTCCTATAGCCATTAGTTTCTCTAAGATCAGATAATACAAATTAAATATGACCTGGCCTTTAAAAACAAAACATGTATTTACTATGAATAAATGTCCTAAAACTGAATCTCAAATATATCTCGAATAAGCATCTATACAACCATGTAGTATAAATATAAAAAAAGAAAAATCCTTCAGTATTCCACCAGAGTATACATTAATACTAATTCTAAAATCAGGATTTTTTTATTATAAAACCTCTTTTATTAAGTGTTAGTCTCTCCAAATTTGTGTACAAATTACGACTTAAATTTTGTAACTTGTCTTGGCAAAATTTCTGGAACAAATTAATAAAATGCAACCTTCTGGAGGAAACGCAGTTCTTAAAAACAGCTTCCTCCACTCACGTTAAGACAAACAAGTTCTACACGTTACAACACAAAATGTAATGCTTATTTTCCCAAATATTCATTTTTATTGATAATTTCAAACTTTGATCAGAGGTCTATTAGATATGTGAAATAATTTGTTTCCTGTCGTGTCCTATATGCTCAGGTACAAATAGAACTGAGTATCTAGAATAGATGGATTAGAAAGAGAAGAGTAAATTTGGGGTCATATTTTTACACAGGATAATAATCTAAGAGTACTCCAACATTTTGACAAATTAGGTTTGAGGCCAAAGTGGAATAAAACAGGTAAGGAAATTAAACTTGTTAAATTTGTTGTAATCGTTGTAATGGGAAGTGACATCTCATAAACTTGCCTAGGAAGAAAATCCTGCCCTCCTGTAATAAAATCAATATGTGCAGAGAAATGGCATGAGGGCCAAATTAAGGGTTGCTATGCCTTCCCTAGAAGAAATACCAAGGCACCTTTGGTCAGGCCTCACCTCGTAAATGGCCTGGGAGGTAGATACCCACGCTGCGTGTACGTCCTGAACATGCTATGATACTGTCCCTCCCGCACATCTCCCAGTCCTATCACTGATATGTGAAATGCCACCATTAGCTCATTCTCCTTCTTTTATGTTTTGTCCTATGTTAAAATGTAAATACCAAAAACAAAAATAAGTATGAAGCTTGTCAGTGATTTCTGACTTCATGATGATGAGTGTTAAATAGAAGAGAAGATGAATAATGCTTTGAATAACTGCCTTAAGAATGGGAAGGGGAATGCTAGGAGAGAAGACCCTGGAAAATGCAAGAAGGCACTGGGATATAGGGGAAGGCACCCACCATGAGGCCAATGGAAAACCTTACAGTTTCCAGTCAAGTGGAATTTTAATGGTCCTAGGCAATGACTATACGGGAGAGAGTGTTGATGCTTAGACCCAAACTACTTCCAAGAGATAAGCAAATACATGAAAAAAAGTATGAGTAAGGTCTGTCAAATACAAAATCAGTAGAAGTGGTTAAGAAAGCTAATAATCACTTGATTTGTCCCATAGAATACTTGAATGGATAAATGTTAGGATGATAGGAGGAAGGTTTGTGGATAAGTGAGTTTGAGAAAGCTTTGCCCTACAGGTCTCTCACAGAGTTAAAACAAGTGTGTGGCAGAGACTACTACGTGCTCACTAAAATTCACTTGCTTTTCCTGTTCTGTACCTATTCAGGTCACATTTCCCAGCATCCCTGACCTCAGGTGTGGTCATGTGACAGTTCTGATCAAGAGGAAAGCAACTTAGGAGTAGAGGTTATGTGTGCCACTTTCTCGCTCTGCCTGTAAAAACTTCCCATGTACCTTCTTCCCTGTTCTTCATCTCTTCCAACTGCATGGAATGGAGATAAACCTTGAATGAACCTGAACTCAGCTGCTGTGGCGTGGGCAGTGGGGCCCTACTGCACAATGCTGGAGCCATATGAGAGGGTCTGTGCTTGAATCTCAGGTGAACTTGAACCACCTGGTGCACACCCTTGTAATCCTGGCTGGCTAGAGAGCCTGATGGAAGAATGATAAGGCCCTATTGGAGGGTCTCTCTTTAAAAAGAAATATGTAAGTATACTTAAAAAAAAAAAAAAGAAAGCCTAGAGTGCTTTTGAAAGCTGCATGTTGAGGATGATGAAATTCTAATGGATGGAGACAAGCTTTATGAATTACCTCTGGGATGTAACCTCTAAAACAAGAACTCTAGCACTAGACCATGTCATGAGTCAGAAACACATTTTTTTAATGTTAAGACACTAAGATGTCAGTGTTTTCTTTCTTTGACAATAGTTTTCAAAACTAATAAAATGTCTTACGTTTTATTTTTTAATTTGCAATTTTATGTGTGCACTCTCCCAAGAGATACAGAGAGAAAGAGAGAAATCATCCCCAAGGGGGACAACCATGCTGCAATCCCTTCTCCTCCATTTTCTTCTATGATGTTGGGTATGCACTCACACATGCCCAGTGTGCTTTCCACACTGCTGGATCTGGTACTCAAACTACAGTTAGTCATGTGGTATCCAGCTGCCCTACCCACCATGCCACAGACTGGCCCAAGTGTTCTACTTTTTTTTTTTAATAATTGTTTATTTACGGGACCAGCAGTTGGTGTAATGGCTGTCACTGGACTGCCATATAGTTGACCGCAGTTCAAGTCCTGGACGCAGTGGTTTTAACTCATGCCAGGCACATGTGCATGCATGCCCAAGATCCCAAGAGGAGAATGGAAGAGAAGGGACTGTGGCATGGCCATCCCCCAGGGGGTGATTTCTCACTTTCTGTCTCTCTGTCTCTCTGTCTTTCTGGCGAGCACATGTGCCCTATAGCAAAAACCTCTCAAAAAAAAAAATTGTTTATTTATTTTACTTGGATTTATTGTTATTGTTGTTGTTGTTGTTAAATTTGACCAGAGAGAAAGGGAAAGTGAGAAAGCAAGCCACCAGGTCCAAGACTCGAACTGCAGTCAGCCATATGGGAGTCCCACACCTTAACCACTATGCCATTTGCTGGCCCCATGTTTTACATTTTAAGTGCTCTATAGGTATTGCAATGAAAAATCATGATTACTTTTTTGTTTTTTTTTTTCTTACACATTCAATCACTATATATCCTCACACTTAATCATAATTACTTTTATTAAACCCTATTTTTTTCAAACTGCGTTGACTACAGAATCTTTATGGTTTGGCTTGGTTTTTAACTTCCTTATCGATTATTAGGCAGTAGAACTGACTTTCTACTTTGAGAAAAACTGCATTATGCCTTTTTGCATTTCCCCACTTTTCTAGATGCTCAATTCTAGCAGAGACGGAGGACTAAGAAACAAGTTACGGCCAGGATTGTAAGGGGATTACAACATCAGAGAGTCTTACTATACACCTACTCATAGAGCTATGTTATGAGTAAATGTCAGCATTTCAACCCAGAATTAAATAGGTGAGTTCAAAGAGCCAAGCAAGACATGTTCTCTGGAGCATTAAAAGAAAAGGAGGGAAGAACCAAGAATTATGAATTGCATCTAAGGAACAGTAAGAAGGGGCAAGTGTAACCACAAGACTGATTTTTTTTATTTTAATTTATTTAAGACTCTAGGTTTTTTAAATGTTGCATCTTTTTCTATTTCTGGTAACATCACCTTATAGGAACAGTAATGACCAATAGTGGCATGTATTTGATTGCGCATCAACTGGGACTTTGTCAGAAAGACCAGCTCAAACTGTCTTAAAGAATGAACAAGATGTCATAAATATCAGAGATGAGGCAAGACTCAGAAGCCATTTGACCCGGGATGTCTTTAAGAATTGGCTTCCAGCCCAGCCTCTGTGGTGCAGTTGGTAGAGTACCAGACTGTGGAGCTGGAAGGCAAAGCCAACCACAGTTTGAATCCCTGATCCTGTCAGCCTAAAACAAGCCAAGTGCATATAGACATGTCCAGGATCCCGGTGAGCTGGATGACTGAACAAAGGGGATCTTGGAGTGACCAGACCCTACAGAGAGTGCTTTTCTCTCTCTCTGTCTCATGCTTGTGAACACACTCTATCATGAACAAAAACAACAAAACAAACAAACAAACAAAAACAAACAAGGGATGGCTTCCTTTGGTCTCTCTATTCTTTCTTCTGTGAAATCAGTAACATCTTCATTTGCCTTCCCTTATGGTAGCAAGAACTGCAGCAGTCCTAGGGTTTACATCTAGACATCACAAGCAAC